TTGATCTTCTCTTCCAATAATAGTATACAATGACTCAAGATATATAATGCTCAAAGTTTTCTGGTTGATAATATGTGAAAGTGTGCAGAAAACTTGTGTATGAAAATGTATAACAACTTGAGTTTGCTTTTTGAAAATTCAGAAAATATGATTGAAAGAGGTGTTCAAAATGATTTTGAAAATGAGTATTTATATGTTCATAGAACCCTTTTGAAACAACATAAAATTCTGTAAATGAATCATGAGCAATTGCCAAGATTGAGTGAAAGATTTTCATGAATTGGTGTTATGAACAAGCATGAGTAAATCTGCTGTTTTTCAAAATCGTTCAGCATGCAATTGATTGCACCCTTTATGTAAATCGATTGCACGGGGTTTCAACAGCTAGAAATTCAAATATTTTGAGTGTGCAATCGATTGCATAAGTGTGTAAATCGATTTCACTTAAAGTCAGTAGCAAAAATTGATTGAGAGCAATCGATTGCACAAACATGCAAATCGATTGCACTTAGAAACAATAGCAAATGTTTTGAAAAATTGAAGCATGCAATCGATTGCACCAATATGAAAATCGATTGCACTCAAGTGAAAATTGAATTTTTTCTTAGAAAAACTTGAGTAAGGATTTGGACAATATAAAATATTTCTTTTGACCATTGAGCATCTATATCTTAAGTTCAAAGTAAGTATTATCATTATACCTTGAAATTTTCTAAGTGTTTGAACCAAAGACTTTATCCACAGATGCTTTTAGCTTGATCAATAGTCTTTTCCTTCTTGTCAACATGGTTTGTCTTTATCAAAATAAAAGTGCATTAGAGAAGTTTGATTTTACAGGATGGTGAAGGAAACTTGTGTACGAAAACTACAAATGTTGTGTACAACAAGGTTTTCGACAATTTGTAGCATTGCAGAAAGTGGAAAATGTAATTTTTAATTTTATTAGGTGGTTTCGCTATAACTATGTAATAGAATTGATACTTTGTATTAAATGGGAAATCATTATTTTTTGACAATTAGCATCCCGGTACAATACGAACGTCATTATTTTGTTGTTATATAATGTTTCGTAGATAAAATGTTTTATGGCTATAAAGTATTGATACATGACATACTACATGGACATAAATTAGCTTCAAAAGTTATGTCATTTACTTTATGCAATTAGTTAACAATCTTATAAAACAAATCCATGACATAATTGTGTTTTAGCCAAATCTTCATATTGAATTTATTGTTTACAGTAAAACAAAATCTCACATTAGGTGAATCTAATTTAAACAACAACAATCTTCACATAAATATTTTGTTGTCATGAGGTTTGATACTCAATTTTTCTTAACTCATGTCTCATATTGAATATTTAGTTATAATAATTAATTGTTCATCACTATTTGTGTTGATTATATGCCTCGTTTTTTCAATTTTTATTCAAAATTATCTTCAAAATCAGTTAGGTAAACAATATGTTTATTTTACATTATACAAACTAATCAATCTATTCATAGGGATGCAGCTTTGATGGGATATTCCTAAAACTCCAGATACTTGCAGCCATCACAACAACAACATATCCATGAAACATATATTTTATGAAGTAGTCACAACAATCAAAGTTCTAACAACCATAACTTTTATAATGCCTTACCAACAACACAATATTTACAGCAAGTTGTGCTATTAGTGCATCACAACCACATCAGAATAATGCCTTACCAACAACACCATATTTATACATTATTTATGGAAAATTGTACAATTAGTACATCCGTTATAATATCACAAATACATGTCATATATGGCAACAAGGCCATTGATACAAAAAATTAAACACAACCATTACATTTGTTAATTCAAAGTTTCATACACTAATTTTAAACCAAATCAACCAAAATGGTCCACGATTACACCTTCATATTTGAAACGTCATTTCGACTGGATCAATTCTTATCAACTGACACTGATAAACAACTTGCAGGAGGGCATTCAGTGGAGAATTTCAACAAATCTCCTTTTCCCAAATATCGTGCTTCTGCAAATTCGTACCAACCTTTGCAGATGTATGTATCAATCTTAACTGAATCCTTACGAGTCTTCAACATGTACGGGTATTTTTTGTGCATATTAGTGTCATGGATTGTAATTGAACTCCGTGGCTCCATAAAACACTTCTTTATAATGGCAGCCAGAAATTGCTGCACAATGACATAAAAAAAACAGGGTGTTTACTAAACCATTTTACATACATCATTTCTATTATTATAATTATCTAATCTGAAACTTACAAACACGTTTTTCTTGATTTTTCTTCTGTCATTGATCTGTCTGGTCCATTTCCACACATTTAGGGAACGAGATTATCAACTTCAGATTCTACTACCAACCTCTCCTCCGCACTATATTTTCATAAGATGCAACATACTCATTATTCATTAACGGTGATCGATTTCAATGTTTCTATTTTATTAAACACTCAATAAATTTGAACAACAATATCACTAAATACTACTTCAACTATGCGTTTCAGTACAACGTAATAATAGAAACTAAAACACTTTACCTTGATGTGTCGGATGATATTGATATGTGAGAAGGAACATGGCTTGCAATCCTTTTCTCTTTATCTGTCTCAGCATCAACACTTTCAGTACACTCCTTGGCAGGTTCCTTAAGTCTAATATCATGTTTACTTCCTTCATCAGTCGATGCCAGCACATTCCCTTTGAATGGGTCTGCAACAACACCTTGGGTGTCCTGCTCAGCATATTCCTTGACTTCAAGTTCATTTTCCTCCCACATCACACTTTCCCAGCACCTTAACACAAAATTCTTCATAAGTAAATATTTTTTTGATCTTTTTTCCGTAGCAATCACTCTTCTTCATGGTCCAGATAATAATGATACATCTGTTGACATTCATTTTCGTCAAAATATCGTTGCTTCAGCTTTTCAGATCTGTAACAAATAATAACATGCAACACACACTGTTTATACACCATACATGCCGCTAACAATCTGTTTAGAATCTCTCTACCTCTACGATTAACTAAAATATTTAATGAATATTTAAGAATCTTTAACAATCCGTAACATTTTTTAAGATTTCACACTGAAAACAAACGTTTTTATCGAATCATAGTCCTTATCCAGAAAAGCACACACCTTTCTCCCTTGAGCTCATCTTCATCGCGAACTGATAATGAATGTCTTAGTCTGGAGCGTTTTTGTTTGGAAGATGAAGCTGCAACTGTTATTTTGACTTCTATGCTTCTTAGATAACTGTTCGTTACAAATGCCAAGTCCCTTCAAATTCTCTTACCAAATTGATGTCCTATAATATATTTTTTTTAGTTGGGGTGTTTACACGTGTAATATTTTTTCCTTCTAAATATATTAATATTAGTTACTCAATAAATATTAATTATATTATTTTTATACTTTTTATATTTTATTTATTCTATAATAAAATGACTCAATTATATTTTTAGAATTATATTTTTAAATTACTGAATAACTTTTTATATAACTTATAGAAAACAAAATAAATTTTAATCTTTAAATATCTTTGTTTTTGTATTATCTATATAAAATTTGTTTTATAGATAATAGATTAAATTGTTTTAACTAATATATATATATATATATATATATATATATATATATATATATATATATATATATATATATATATATATATATATATATATATATATATATATATATATATATATATATATATATATATATATATATATATATATATATATATATATATATATATATATATATATATATATATATATATATATATATATATATATATATATATATATATATATATATATATATATATATATATATATATATATATATATATATATATATATATATATATATATATATATATATATATATATATATATATAATTAAAATTTTATTATTTTAAATTATAAATTATAAATAAATTTAAACCGGTGTCTAACACGAATATACATATTAATTACATTTAAAAATAATAACACAACCTGTAGAGCACAAATTGCAATAATAGATAACTTGTTATAAATTAGTCTCGAAACAATAGTAAAGTTAAAAGTGAAATATTTGTTTATTTTAGTTCAAAAAAGCATTGCATCAAAGAAGTCTTTGAAAATTTTAAATCTCTTTTACATTGATAGAGTCATTTACACAATGAGTTCAAACAAATTTATCATAAATTTAAACTTTAAAATAATCATCTTAGATTAAAAAATTCTTTGCATATAGTGTTGGAGAAGTTACTAGAAATAATTATTTTAGATTAAAAATTTTGTAAATAGTAGTGGAGAAATTATTAGAAGTATTAATATAGTTGAAGATGATATATTTTTTTTTATAAGAGACACACTATTTATCCACTTAAAATTTTAAGATAATTGAAGGATGAATTTTCTCATTTATATTTTCAAATCACTACATTTTTATATAAAATTATTTTTCTATTTATTCACACTTATATTATTATTCTAACATATTGAAGCCTAATGATAAATATTTAATCCTGATAAAATAGAAGAATTAAATTGGTTAAAGAATGGAGCTTTTTTACACGACATCAATTAATCAGTTAGAAAATAACAGTCTGTCTAATTTGAGTGGAGTAAATCCAAACCAATATTACCTTGTCTCTCCCTTTTCGTAACTCAACCATGGTTAACTAATACTACCACTTTATCCTACTTGGTATTGTTCCACTATACACATCATATCATACTCATCTAAAAGAACAACAACAAAATAATTACGCTCTTTTCTTCTGTAGAAATTTCTCCGCCTCCACGTCCTGTACACATCACCACCGCCCCCAAACTTTACCGCCGATTCACCATCCCTCCGGGAACACTCTCCACACAACTACTACACCTCTTCATCACCAAAACAAAATCACTTATTTTCAATATTAACCAAAACTTCAATGTATTCATAATAATAACTTCATCGAATTGATTCACCTTCTATAATGGAAGAATCTCAGAAAAATCCTCCACCAATGCCACCACTTTCCACCACATCGCCACCGCCAAAAAAGAAGCGAAACCTCCCTGGAATGCCAGGTGTATATAAAAAAGAATCCATAATCATACTCATAATCAAAGTTAAATTAAATATATATTATTATACATTATTTAATTATTCTTCTTCTATCAAATACTAATTTATTTAATTATGGTGTTTGTTTCCGTTTTCAGATCCAGAAGCTGAAGTAATCGCTTTATCTCCCAACACGTTACTAGCGACGAATCGTTTCGTTTGCGAGATCTGTAACAAAGGCTTCCAACGCGAACAGAATCTGCAACTTCACCGGCGAGGCCATAACATGCCGTGGAAGCTCCGGCAGCGAGGGAGCAACGAGAATCGCAAGAAAGTGTATGTATGTCCTGAACCTTCCTGTGTTCATCATAATCCGTCAAGAGCGTTAGGTGACCTCACCGGCGTGAAAAAGCACTTTAGTAGAAAGCACGGCGAGAAGAAGTGGAAATGTGAACGTTGTTCGAAGAATTACGCTGTGAAATGTGATTGGAAAGCTCATATGAAGTGTTGTGGAAGTAGAGAGTATAAATGTGATTGCGGCACTTTGTTTTCTAGGTTAATTATTTTCTCTCACGTTAATTTCTCCAATTATTTATTAATTTATTATTTGTTAATGTTATTGATAAATATTGTTGATTATAGGAGGGATAGTTTCATTACGCACAGAGCGTTCTGTGATGTTGTGGCGGAGGAAAGTGGTAAAGGAGGTGGCAATGTTATTGATGCGGCGGTTTCTTCTCCGGCGACAGCTCCGGTGACTCCGTCAACGATATCTGCGCTGTCTCCTACTTTATCGTCTATTCAGAGCTCAGGTAGAATATACTAATTCATTTCCTATTTGAGTTTTGTACTTTTGTTTCATAGTAAATCAAATGTGTGTATACTTTTGGAAATTTTGCACATTCACATTCAATTTGCATGCTTTTAAATGATAAGTAAATTAACATTTTTTTGGCCTCAAAATGGGATCGATTTGACAGATTAGTGAAATGAAAATATAAATTATTTGAAGATTTTGATTAGGTTTTTTAATTAAAAAGTGTTGTTATTAAGTTAGTACCTACTCTAATCATTCTACTACAAGTTGATAACCATTCTATTACCATTTGACTAATATAACTGAGATGTTGATGTTCAAACTCACACCCCTATAATTAGAGATGTCAATTTGCATATGTAAATAGGGAGATTATTTATTCGGATCTCTGAAGTCGGAGATTTTTCCCTCATGGAGACGGGGTTGGAAGAAAATGTTCCCCTGAAAACACTTGGGGACGGGGATCGAGAAAATATCAAACTCTGCGGATTCTCCGAACCCGACAATATTATTTAACTTTTATATATAATATATTATATAATATATAATTATATAATTTTATATTTTTTCTTTTTAAAAAGTAATATATTAAGAAATGAAAAGTCATTGTATAATATATTGTTTCACTCTACCCCTAAAAAAATGAATCTATAACATATAGTGCACATACCGCCTCTTTTTTTTATCTTCTCAATTCTCTTTGTCTCCTCCATTTCTCATCTCGTATCTTCTTGTCATCACATCAACCGTTTTCATTTGTTAGATGATAATTACTCTTCAACTTTATTATATTTCAATTGCTAACCTATTTTTCATTCAATTAATAAATTAGTGGTTATGTTTTCGTATGTGTCAGTGCTTTTGTATTTTTTTAGTTATTTATGTAAGATGTGGTTTTATTTTTAAAAAAGAAAGACGAAAAACATATGTTATTTTTTAAAAAGGAAAAAAAAATGAAATACTAGTATAATAATTTTGATTGAAAAATATAGAAATTTTTTTACAGTTTCGACCTCTATGGATCTCTAATTATCAGTGGAGATATATGGGGATGGGGATGGGGATGAGGGAAAATATTCTCTCGTGGTGGAGATTGGGGATGGAAATAGGAAAGATATTGGGGGCGGGGCGGAGAGTGAGAAAACATTCTCCACACATTTTCTGCCTCATTGACATCCCTATCTGTAATCTGTCGCAAGTTCGAACTCACACCGTTATAATCGAGTGCTCAAATACACCTACCAAGTGAACCAACTTAACGAAACTGACTAACATTAGTTTTAATTTAAAGGACAAAATTGATTGTATTTCATAAATGTGAGAAAAAAATTATGATAAAAGTAGTACTACATTAAATGTGCTTTTGGAGTAATGACATGATTTAAACTTGACAGATGTGTAGTTTGTCTCTTTAGCATGCATTTATTTTGTTTTTCTCTGCCGTTGAGTAGTAATCCAACCCACATTATGGACCCTCAAATCTATAGTCTATTCCTCTCTCACAATACAATAGGACAGTGAAAAATAAATAGATTTCTATAATGAATTTGAGCTCACAACATGTGCCTTAAATACACGGTTTAACATTTTCTTTTGATAATCATTTTTTCTTCTATTGTAAACAGATATTGCAGAAAACACAACAAGATTGTCACCACCACCATCTTCAAATGCTACCACTTCCACTTCTACTAGCTGTTATTCTTCATTCAGCACTCTCATGTCAAGTTTGACTCACTCACATTGTCCTACAGCTTTCTCTGTCACTGAACCCACAACCCTCTCACTTTTCACACCACTCTATCTCTCCAACAACCATGATTATCCTGTTTCCCACTACAGCACTGCATCTCCACAACCTGCATTATCTGCCACTGCATTACTCCATAAAGCTGCTCAAATGGGTTCATCTTCGTCTAACGCGTCCTTGCTTCGCGCTTTAGGCTTGAAAGAAAACAATGTCAGTAGTATTAACAGTACCACAACAGTACCATGGAAGAATGGACATGATGATCATGTAAAGCAAGAGAATGAGCCTGTGACAGATTACCTTGGGCTTGGACTTCCCTCTGGGAATGAAATGATAGGCTCAACGGGCCAGCCGATGACCCGTGATCTTCTTGGTTTAAGCATGGGATTGGGTAGAGGGGATGATCTTTCTGCTTTGCTCACATCTTTTGGAGGGAACTTTGATTCATCCACAAAGAGATGAGTAATTTAGACAATTGAGTAGTGGCCCACCCCAGGATTTTTTTGTGACTGGTAAATCAGCCAACTCTCTTGTTCTATTTCTTTGGCATCACTTGAGTTGGCTCTAGACATATAAATGATTCGATTGTAAAAAACTACTTTTTGAATATGTATATATACGTCTTTTTAGTTTGATATATTTTCTGTAGATGTAATAATAGTGCTCCAATCTCAATCATCAAATTGTTGACATAGCTTCTTTTTCTTTCTGTGATGTTTTTATTCCTTGCGTATATTATCTTTTAGACACGACATGTTCAGATATAGGTGTTTGGTGGGATCAAATATCAAGAACTAGTTCCACATTCATTTTGGTTCGATTCAATTAATTTTAGCTTTTAAAAACAATACAATTCGACTTGAATTAGACACGTCTTGTAAAAAAATAATTTTTTGTTGTTGAAAGAGATTTCTCTTAGAATTACACAAGTGTTGAAAGAAAATATTTGTTTTTGAAAGAATTTTCATATTTACACGCAGAAGATATTATGATGAAAGTATGTGATCATCCAAGTGGTAATATTGGTGTTGTCTCTTTCATAAAAGCTATTGAAGTTGAGATTGATAATGAAGATAAAATGTTAAGACATGTACGGTTACTTTTTATTTTATTTTATATGAGCATATCAAATCTACTTTGATACATGTGAATGAAACTTTGACCTTTATATTAGTAATAAAAGGCGGGCCTTGTTTGAAGAAGAATAGGGAAATCTATTTGAAATTTTGGAAATACGAAAGATCCGGGATTTCTTAATTTACTCCATAGTTTTCTAGCGTACTACACAAAAATACATAAATATCAATAGAAATTGGAAATATATTTTTAGGACGTATCATGGTTTAATAAAAAAGTTACATTTCTCGGAGTTATATTTTCAGTAGTGAGTCAATATTGTATTTCTGAAAAATGTATTACAGAATCAAGAAAAATAGAAATGAAGATACACCAACTTCTCAAAATATAAATTTCATTGATATCATAAGATAAACAATACATAAGGGATTTAAACATTGATTATACATTACACTTCAATATTCAGATAGACGTTATAACATCTTGATAATATCACCGACCAATCTTGAAACAGTCGCATCCAGCTCGAGCATACCTTTTGATTCTAAACGAAAAAAGATTCTCCACGTAGCCCGTAAATCAGCGCTTATCTTTAGCTCATGGTTGATGAACTGAAGCTTTTCTTCGTTGTCAATGGATAACAAGCGGTACTCGATCTTCAAAATTTTTTGATTGTCTCCATATGGTAGAAATTCATGCAATGTGTACTGCAAATCTTCAAGAGGAATGTACTCGGTTGTGACGCGGTGAGAGAACTGACTTGGGTGTTTTGTGTTTGATCGCAAGAGTCGTCACTGACTTTTCTTTTATCCAAAAGGAAAGGCTGAAAAGAACAGGAAAGACCTTTAGAGATGTTTTCTTGAGTTCCGGGGGTAGATTATGAAAAGGGAAGGTATTAGCAGCCTTTTCATCCGTAGTTATCTACGGGCTCTTAGTTGCTTGCTAGATCACTTGCTTTTGTTTGGAAATGTTCTTGTGGTGTGGGTTTTGAAAGTATTTTAAAAACGTCTTTGTAATTATTCTCGTTTCTATAAGAACGCGTACAAAGTATTGTTTGGAAAAATAGTTCAAAGAGGTGTTTGTGGAATGTGTTTTTGAAAGTGATTTTGAAAAGGTGTCTTTGTAATGGCTCTCGTTTCTATAAGAACGCGTACAAAGTGTTGTCTTTTGAAAATGTTTCAAAATGAGAGTGTTGGTGTATAAAATGTTTTTGTTGTGAGCAAGCGAGCAACTAGGAGAAAATCTACCTACTCAAAAGGTCTTAGATGTTCTTTTCCTCCTCCTTTAGATGTTGCTATCTTACCATTGTTTTGGTAAGAAGCCCCATCGTTGGATGTGAAGGGACGGGTGTGGGACGTTTGTATAGTCAAAGAAGGCAACCCATGGAACATTTTAGCAATGTCGTTTTAGGGACTAGATCGTTTACCGAAGGCAACATCGAGGGTCATCGAGGGACTACGATCTTTTATCAAGGGTCTTTGCTAAAACACCCATGTTCGAGGGACATGACTATTTTTCCGAGGCAACAAGTGAGATTATCCTAAGGGTGCATGTGTGCAAAGTGTGTTTGATTGCATGCATTTTGTCTTTGATTTTTGGGTTGTCTACTTGTTGGTTTTATCTTGCCATACACACCTAATTACTAGCATTTGTATAAAAGTAATAAAAAGTAAAAAATAAATCCTACACTATTACGACCATATTGAAATGCATAAAAATATAAAGGCAAAAATAAGATAAAAAGAAGAAAAAAGAGCTCTTTCGATTGGGAGGGGGGAGCAGCCTTCGATTTTGTTTCTGTTGGCCTCCTTCGATTGGGGGCTAGCATCCAACAAGTCATGGCCTTCGATTGGGCCTTGGCAGCAGCTGGTCATGGCCTTCGATGGGAATTGTCAGCAGTTGGGCGTGCCTTCTGGTTCTGCCTTGTTGCCTTGTTACCTTCTTTGATTGGGCCTGAAATCAGTAAGTTATGGCCTTCGATTCTGGCTTTATGGAGCTTGGAAGTCAACATGAGCATGCATTCTGGCTGGGCCTGGAAGTTAGCATTGAAGCCCAAGGCTTCATTTCATGTCTTTCTCCCCACTGTCTCTTTCGTTTGGGACATAAAAATGGTAACATGGCCTAAGGCCATGCTAGCCTTTGTCTTGTGGCCAAACTAAATATTAAAGTATATTTAATAAACTCAAACAACAACAAACAAAAATATCAGCCATAAAACATATTAAAGGGTGTAAATGAAAATATTATATACATATGATGTTTGAAACGAAAGAAAAGCTTATCTACATGTTATACAAGAAATGAAAAGCTCAAGGTTTGTAACAACTTACCTTACTGGAGGCTGAAACGTGTGTTGGGATTTTAGGTGGTTGTCTGGAATGTCCCTGGATTCGAAGGGAAGGAGCAAAAGCTAGGCCTTAGATGCTGATTCGAAGAAAGAAAGAAACAAGTGTTATGTTTCTTTCCAAATTGGATTCGAAGGATACTGAAGAGTGGGGAGTTCTTCAGAACCGAAGGAGGTGAGTATGGTTCTGGTTTTTTTTTTATTTCTCAAGTGTTGATGAACTTGAGAGTTTTGTATTGTGTTAGAGAAGATTTTGGAGGTTTCGTTCCTCTAGTAAAAAAATCCTCCTTTGCCTTTGCAAAAAAATCCTCTATTTATAGGGAGAAAGTGGACATGTTGTAGTAGCCAACTTTGCAAAGAAATAATAAAATAATGTAACGTAAGAGTATAAGTGGGGGGACTTTTGGCAGTTGGGGTGCAGAAGATGTGACTTATGCTTTTGGCCTTGCTTGTGCTCAGACCAAAATCAGCTTGAAAGCTGATTTTGTGACTAAAGTACCTTTTATGAAGAAAGGGTACACAGTCCTTTGCCAATTCATCCAAGAATGGTATTATCTAGTGAACAAACCTTCGAACCCTTATGCAATGTATCACAAACTTGTGTAAACCTCTGGTTATGTGAAGATTTGGAAGCAACATAGCCTGGAAAATGAGATTTGGTCTTGAGTCGAATGCAAGAATGATATCGAAGCACACTTGTTCGAATGAAGCCTTTGCGTCATTTGAAGCTTGTGGTCGAAACAAGCTTACTCGAAGGAAGCTAATGCCCAGTCGAAGCTTGGATCGAAGCAAACACATTGCCCAATCGAAAGCTCGTGTTCAAAGGAAGCATATTTCCCAATCGAAGCATGTGGATCAAAACAAACATAAAGAGAGTCATTGCCTGGTGTCTGTTTAGCATGACGGAAGTTCCTGGCTTCTGAATTGAAGGGTGTTCTTTCAAGGGAAGCAAGAACTTAGTCAAATCCTGTATGAAGATATCTCTTGGCTCAAACGAAGCTCGTGAGAGGAAAATTCTGCAAGAGGCCCTTGGTGCAAGTGGATTCGAAGGATGCATAGAGATGGTTACTTTATCCCATCGAAGTTTGTCCAAACGAAACAAACATGCAGACAACATATACCCAATCGAAGCAGGCTTGCAGGCATCATGTGCCCAATCGAAGCAGGCTTGCAGGAAGCATATGCCTAATCGAAGCAGGCTCGCAGGCAGCATGTGCCCAATCAAAGCAGGCTTGTAGGCAGCATATTCCCAATCAAAGCAGGCTTGCCATTTCTTTAATTTTGTCAAAAAAACAATTTCATCTGTTTTCTTCCTTTTTGACAGTTTTCTTTTTAACTTGGTATTAGAAAATGCTAATGCACTTGTGCAAGCTTGAACCTTGAAAATCCTTGTAAGAAATGCCTTGAAAAATGAGAGGGCAAATTTTGGGGTACAACATCCGTGATCTTAAATTCTCGTGATGGTGTATTACAGGCAAAGTGAACATTTCTAACATGCCAAATGATGCTCATTCTGATTTTTTTGTGTTTTGGTATGAAACAATGAGTAATGAGGTTATTTATAGTAGTGGGAGGATATTATGGACCACATAAACCCTATCTGCTTACAGAGTACGTATAAGAAATGTATTTGAGGAACCACCTTTAGTTATATCGGAGATGCATTTACGGTAACTTCCCTAGTATCAATAAACAAAAACAGAAGCAGGAAAAACCAGCAGAGAGACATAATAATAAAAATATTTGCATTCCATAATATAATACATTAACAAAATGTCATATACAATAATATGATAAATAATTACTTAAATGACCTGAAATAACAGTCGCCCGTCAAATCTACAGGTGGTACCCTCTTGACTTTTCTCTATTTTTCCTTCTATTTCAATGTTGTTTAATTTGGTGTACTCTTGCATCCTTTTAATAACTTGATCCGGCAAAGTCTTATATTTAATTGTATAAAGATTCACCCACTCAGGTGATATAAGTGGTATAGGACATCCCAATTTCAAATACACTTGAACAAAATGTCGCGGATTTG